CTTGGATTTAATGTAATGTTTAGAGCTTGGACATCAGTTTAAGGATTTTTAAATTCCTTTGTGCACGTGTCGTCTCTAGCGCTACATCTCAAGAGTACTTTACCAGCGACCGCATGTTTTCAGCCTATCCACACTGTGACGCTGAAATAAACCAGTTTTGATGTTGCATAAAATGCTTATCTCTCAAGACTGTCAAGATCCTTCAGGTTTGAACACGTCTGTTAGCTTTGGACCTTGAGGACTTCTTTGGAATAAAGTCTTCTATGATGACTTGATTGTAAAAATAAATCCCCACAGAGAACTGAAACGTCTTGTTAATGTCGTCAGGTTCCTTTCTTGTTATTGGCTTAACCGGTCACAAAAAACGAAGCTGTTATTATCATGAAGGAGGACACAGTCGAGAGTTGGAAGACTTCAGTCTAATAGAAACACACACACTAGTCTTTGATTCTTAGGAACAAATGTTGAAGGCTGCGACCAAAAATTATTGAATATTTTCTCTCTCCATTGATGAACTGTTTGGTCATTTAATGTCAAAGAATTGTACAAAAAAACTAAACAAAAAACCCTGAGTCACCGGCTAAATGTGGCTTAACAGTTTAAAATACCAAAGATAAGCTGGATGTTATTACTTTAGTGGAGCTGGATGGTTTATATAATTAATTTACAATCAAATAGTAACAAATCATCAGTCAGACTGAAGACTGAGAGACTGTCTTTTCTGATGAACACTTGAATGTGTGCATTTCATACCGGCATCGACGGGGGTCTCTGGTATGTCGTCATACACTCCTACATCCACAGGCTTCATTCCAAGGTCCTGCAAGGAGTGAGCTGTGGTCTTACAAAAGCTCTGCATGGATCGCTTTATGTACTTCTCCCGGATGAACAACGCCTTCACCACACACTTAGCAGCATCCACCAGGTCAGTAAAGGGCACCTGAACGTGTGCAAAAACCACAATAATAGAAATGTGAATGGGATTTACTTTGCTTGAGTTATACTTTAAATACATATAAAGCATATGAGAACAGCTCAATAGGAGATTCTCACCCCACACTTTTCCTCGCCAGAGATCGAGACCCGCTGGTACTCTCTCTCCATTGGCATCTCCCTCTCTTTAAAGCCATCGTCAACAGTGTCCACACTCGCTTCCTTCATTAACCTTAAAGGGCACAAAGGAGAAGTCAGAGGAAGAAGGACACACAGGGATGGAAAACAGGTGAAAGAGTGGCAGAGAGGTAACTAAAAAGGAAAGCATTACTTTTGGTACATAAGCTTCGGCAGCGTCTGTTATTAGTGGAGTTATTTGTTTCGCAGAGTCACTTTGGAGAGCATTCAAAGTAGATTAATCTGTTGTTATATTTAGTGTATGGCATCGATCAAGACTCCATGAACAAAATTAATGTTTCTAACAAATTCAAAATACATGCAAAATGTATTGTTTACATGCATGTTATTTGCTCATCTGTCAACAGACATGAGGTGTTGAGTGCTGTTTTAAGTAGTTGCATCATTTATGTTTTTCCTTTCTGTAGATCGTCTCGATTCTTTCAGATTCAATAGAGACAAACAGGAACAGCTCCGTGGTTCAAATCACAAAGCCGAACTTCTTACACTGAACCTACAGTTACACTCTCTGACAAGTAGAGTCTTATCTCACACAGGTGTACAGGCAGGTGTCTTCTAATGCAAAAAAAAATCTGTCACGGAGATATCCTAGGGGTGATTATTATCTATTATGGGTGTTTTGCCTGCGTTTTACAGGACAGTGCAGATTTAAGTAGGAAAATAAAGGAAGAAGAGAGAGGGACTGGAATCAAACCACGGATGTATGGGCATGTGGTATGTGCTTCAGCCATGTGTGTCCATTTATAGGGATAAGAAGAAATAATCCAAACTTAGCTGAAAGTGTCACAATGAAGGGCACATATACATCATAGAATTTTACTTTTGCAATAATCTCAGAAATACCTGTTAAACCGACTGTGCACAACTAACAGCTACCTTCAGTATCTTTGTTGTAAATGTCAGTAGTTCGTGCACAAATCTGCCCAAAGACCAGAGCTGTAGGACTTAGTCTGGGTTTACAGGAGGCGCGAGTTTCAACACAAGACGTTATATCTCCGTTAAAGAGACAAAAGGGCAAATGAAGAACAACCAATGTAGATTTTTCTCTCAGACTTGTTTTAAGAATAAACGGCAAAATAAATCATGCCCATTTGTACACCTGTCAGTTCACCAGCAGGGGGAAGATGTGGTCCATCTCATTATGTTGATAATCTGTGTCAAGGTTTCAGGAGAAAGGTAGCTATAATAATAAGTCCAGAGTTCCCAAATACAGTAAACGAGGCGGTGAGAAGTGTGTAGTGCTGAGAATAAGTGTTATAATGTCTGATAACGTACTGCAAGCAAGCAAAGTAGAAATAGACACAAATAAAATTCCAACCACAAAAACACTGTAGTCGTCAGACAAAACATGCGTACTGAGGCAGAGCTCACTCACTCGAGGTCTGCGGCACTGTCGATTTTCATGAAGTCCTGCTTGGCGCGGAGCAAGATCTCTGGCTCAAGCCTTGGGGTGATACGCAGGATAGTGTGAGCAATGCAGGGCGCACATGGGCATCAAAGGTAGTGAGAAGAAGTTAAGCACACAAACGGACAGACACCAAATATAGGCACAGGCACTCCAACAAGCGCTCGCTCTCACACACACACAGATAGAAACGTACAGACACAAATGATTTTAGGTATTAAGAGATCACAGCAAAGACAAAAATATCATCATCGGTTAGTGGTGGTCAACCCTGATCGGTAAACAGGGAGGGCGTGTCGGGTCACCACCCAGCTTAGCGGCGCAGCTAGCATCAAACCTGGCAACAGAAACCCCCTCACTATAAAAGTGTGCGTCGAAGAAGTTGTACCACCAACTGCTGGATAGCCCAGTGAGCTGATTGCCGGGTTAGTGAGCCCACACACCGGCCTGTTGGAAGCTGATAAGCATGAGGGTGGAAGCGTGGCTCTGTGTAAAAGACTGGAGGACGCAGAGCTACGTCTGTCTGTCTGAGGTATTGTACAGAGTTTATCTAACTGACCCAATGTGTGTAGCGTGTTTGCACTTTCTCACTTAATGTCCTGACTGATCTGCCTCTCAAGGCGGTGCCGTCGCTCCTCCAGCTGTTCGATGGGGCTGTCCTCTGGGAACTCATACGGAGCGCTTCGCATCTCGCTCTCGGCCATGCTGCGAGTGAACAGCTCCTGGTTCAAACACAGGTTACACCGTTTATGATGCCGTAAAACAGGAAACAATGTCGATATCTGTGCACATATTGACATAAGAAGGAAGCAGAGGCTCGCCAAGAAAAAAAAACATGTGTCAGATTCAAATGAAGCCATAAAAAGTTATGGCAGATGTTAACCTGGTGTGTTTCAGAATAGGGAAAGTTTCTGATGTTTTAAAAACTTTTAAGGTTTTTGCATCACTACAGTCAACAAAACATCATCTTGTGTTTAAACTGGTGGGATGCTGGGATCAGAAACTATAATGATTAGTCACTGAGATGAGATTCAGATCGGTAGTTAGCTATTTTATTATGGTTTATATTCTGGTAGTGAATAGATTATTAATCCTACAAATCTATTTTCACAAGTCGCAAATTCCAAATTCAAACAAACAGTATCAGTAACAGATGATGAAAACGTCTGAGTAAACTGCTAATTAACCAATACTGAACCGAGTTTAATGTTCATCTAATCAGCTGTATGAGGAAATACATGACGGTGTCTCTGTTTCTGTGACTCCACCGTTCAAAAACAATATTTTCTTACCTCTGCAATCTCTTTGTACTTCTCCTCCATGGATGTTCGCAGGTCGATCGGGTAGTGCGTGAGAGAAACGGGCGTCCCAGGAAGGGATCGCTGGGGCTTGAGAGTCTTGGGTCCAGATACACCGGAGAGGTCTGTAGGAACACACGGGAGGAGTTAGAACACAACAGAACCACAGCAACAACCAATCAGACATAACACACCCAGGTACTGCTGAACATCTGATTTCTGCGTTAAAGGAAGGGGTCTGCCTCATACTCATTCAAACCAGGGCGAACTTTTTTTTTTAGAAATGATTTGCAGCGGAAAAAGTAAGAAGCGATCTAAGTACATTTTCTATAATGATCTTAGCCATAAGAATAATACCAGACAGGTAAAGGCTAACAAACATGTACTGTGTGTGCTTGTGCAAACAACTGCTGGATTGATAAGGCCTGTGGTGCACAATGTAAATGTTTACAGCTCTGTCAGTGAAGTATTTACAGCCCATTAGACCTTTAACCAAACACGCCAACAGCCATAATGTACCGCCAACTGCATACAACGTCAAGTGCAATGTGTTGTGACTGACAAAACTCCACGGAGGTTCAGACACACATGGACCATCTGGATGCTTCAGCAGCTACAGCAAAGATGCAAATCAGCCTGAAAAAAGTAAACAATTCTTAATCATTTCGCAGTCTGTTGGGAACAGAGACAGCCAGCCAAATATGTAAAAGCACACAATGCTGACAATTACCACAGAGATGAAAATAGAAGCAAATTTTGAGTTTGGTTTACCAAAGATTGCAGCGTGTGGCGCTCGGAGAGGGAAAACTACGGCTTTAGCAGGCCCGGATTTGGTTCAGACGCTACGGTTTATTTTTACGTGGCACTTAGAAATAAGACAAACAAACACTCAGGAACTTTAAATCTATGGACTCAGCTCTTTAAACAACTCTGATCATCTCGGTCATACATTATAAATAAAGTGATCTTAGAAAGAAGACAAACTCTTGATATCAAGCACTCTCTGGCCAAGACTTCCCTTACCTCACCTCCATCAGCTAAATGAACACATTAGCTCATTTTTTTTCTTTTAAATCTACTCAGAGGACATCAAACACAAGGACATCAGATGCAAAAACTAAACAGCCAGCCAGAAGTTTAAGAAAATGCAAATAGGGCATAACTATGATTAACTGTGAAGCTCTGGTGACAGTGGCTGCGGCGGCAATCTGTGACACAGCATGAAAATCCTTGTAAAGCGTCCAAGAACAGAGGCCGGCTTAAGAACAGACAGCTGTACCAGCAGATACTGTGTCACTTCAGCCTCACATAGGTATGCACACGCTGGAAACACAATGACTCACATGTACACATGAACAGACACACCTGAGGGTGACAGAGAGGGGCCTTCCCCACTCCACTGCTGGAAACAGATGACAGCAGATCCACTCCAGACGAAGCCCAACACAACAGAGAGCCACCCCGAGACTACATACGTTTGTCTCCTGTTACACTAAACAAATTCACTGATTGCTGTGTATCTTCAAGCTAATTTCGGTTAAACAGAACAACAATTCAGAGCACACCATAGTTATTTGGGCACACACTGTAGTTGATAATAAGTCTACGGCTTTGGGAGAGGTTTGCTCATGCTCCTCTGTAATTGGGGCCATTATTGGTGCTGTGTCTGCCTTGTGACAATTAGTTTCTGCCATCTGCTGTCTGCCTCCAAGGCGCTGGAGTCAGGAATGAGCAGAGGGTGACCCTCCACGGTGAACTAATATGTGAAACGTTTCAATATTGTGCATGGATGTGACTCACAGCAGAACTTTCTGGTGACACAGCGAGCTGGCATGCAGGAGCGCCGGAGCATACATGCACTTGCATTATAGCCCAAGTTATACTAGAGGTTTGGGACAAAATGACACGTCCCCCGATAGCATATCTGATACAGACCTCCTAATTCATGTTTGAATAACATGTGGTGAGCAGGATATTTCATTTCAGTGCTTTCTGACACATGAATCATGCATCAATTCGAAGATCTTTTTCTGTTCTGATGTTTCTTGGCAACACAGACACACCTACAAAAATGTTTCAGTGATAAATGAGCACCAGCTTGGTCGATTTATCAGATTATATGCAGACATGTATCCCCGTCCTTCCGTACATTGTGTATTTTCAAACGAACAAACAGGTGACTTTAAGCACACACACACAGAGTCACCCCCAGTATAGCATCCTCGTAATCCCCTGGCCTTTCCACCGCAGATGACTCTTAATCCAGTACCCCCAACTCTATTTATCTCAGTGACATCATTGTAGTGGGCAGCACAAACCTTCAGCGTGCAAGTCAACACGACAACAGTGGCAGTAGAACAATAAAAATACAGTCACGCAAAGCAGAAAACAACAAACAACAACTTTCTCCCGATGAGTGGGTCGGATTCAGCTCAACATCCATAAAAAAATCACAAAGCTATCATTCAAAAAGGTCTAATTATACCATAATGCACGCTTATGCTAATTACTTGAGCAAAAATAAAAATGTGTGTCTATAATCTCTGAATAATATTTCACTGCAGGCTGTACCTTGAGACAGTTGACTCATTTGTGCATCAATGCAGGACATATAATCTAATCTTGTTCTTTTCGGCAGCATTTTTGTGATTTCTTAATAATAATCACTGTTGTGTTTTAGTTGTGGTACACCGGCTGGTACAAACAGGCAGCCAGTGGCTTCATCTCGAACATGATGTTTACCGCGTCCACCGTTCCTTCTTCACGATGCAAGTTAATTTCTAATACAAGTGAGTAATACTGACAGAGCTCTCCAACTTTGCTTTCCGCCACATCCCTGAGACCTGTGTCTGCACACCACCCACATGCTCATTTAGCAACCGTAGAGCTGCCTCTGCTCTGTAAAGATCAATACAATCCTTCCAGTCTGCCTCATCCTTGACGTCCCTCAGGCCAAAAGCAGCAGCAGCAGATTGGTTGTGGCAGCGCCATTCTGGAGAATAATGAAGTATCAAAACACAAGCAGATCCATGAGCGTACTCCACCACCACCACGGCAAGCTGGATCAGTTCGCCAAGTTTATTCTCTCATGCTTTCAAGTGCATTTTGACATCAAAACCACTCTGTATGAAACAAACTTCCCATAAGCCCCACATTGTTAACAAAACCTCCCCATTAGTCCTGCCGGCTCACAATTAATGAGATTTGGCTTCGGTCCAACGTGAGTTTGGATCAGTTTCCTGGTTGGCAGAATATTTCGATTTGTTAAGCTGCAACGTTAACAAAACTCCCGTCAGACTTTTTCATCTTTCTTTTTCGCGAAGGTCAATGTTGAGAACTTGCAGATAACCTAAGCAGGCTTCTCATTTATAGCTGGCAGTGACGACTGCTTTAAAATGACCAGCGTAGCAGATTACATCAGCGTTGGCTATTTCATTTCTTAATGGTTACACTCAGATGCTGGATCTCTGTGGAGTTTCTGGCATAGAGCAGGTTCCTGTTTTGCTTATCTGGTGCACATGTTCAGGCCTTCCAACAGTGTCCTGCTGTTCCACTGATTTACAGGTTGCGGTTACGTACTAAGATATGCAGCAGCGTGCTATAAAAAAAAAAGGAGGGCAGGAGACTTCAAAATAGTAACGTTGGTGTAAACAATGCAGGATTTAAAATACTTTAAACTGGCGTTGAGGATGTTTTATGAGGAGAGAAGTGCACTCAACATCTTTCTCAGCGCTCAAGGATGTACACAATGTGCTTTAGTGAGCAGCGCTGAATGAGGACATAACTTTTGTTTGCTTACAAGAAAAACTCCACAGGGCACCTTTAATGTGCTCTCTCCGAGCCACTGGCTGGAAAAAACTGTGTTTCGGTAGTTCAACGGAGCATCACATGAAACACAAGAGAGTCCCTGTCAAATCAATATTTGAAGCTCAATAAGCTTTGAAGCAGGACGCTATTATTTGGATCGCATCGTTTAAATCTGGTGTAAACGTCAGTATGATACAGCTGTCATCGTAGTGGATCAGAACACCGACTATTGGACATTTTAGATGTTGTGCTGCTCATCTCATGTCCATGCTGTAATTACAGATTGTGAATATTAACGAAAATTTCTCAATTAATGTTAATGTTGCTTAACTTAGTAACTGACAACTTACAAAACTGAAGATATTCTGGCTTCAGGTCCAACAGCATGTGATCCCAGATCTAAAGTGAAGCTTTACGTTGTAGATATTTACAACTTTGGTTACTTGCAGAGGATGAAAGTGGAACTTAATTATATTTGATAAGGGATTGCAAAGGATGTGGATTCAGTAATTGGATTAGACTTGTTAAAATACTATCCAACCCCAGCCCGAGATGGGAACAGTGCCTCCCCAGCTTCACAGTCTAATTTCTCAATTTATTCTATCCCTCTACGTAAGTGATGCGAATTTCTGTCAAGTAATTAGAGTATGTTTACTGGTTCGATCCCCCCCAAGTATCTGCTGCCTGACATTGCGGCTAAAAACAGATCTTGTTGTCAGTCAACTTTTCTCAGTGCAGGGACAGTTTTCACCAAGATAACAACACCCAAGGTGACTGACATTTTGGTGGATGGAGCTGGCCTTGCACTGATTCATTTGCATGGATTACAACTCACCGTGCCACGCCAGAGTCCACAGCGCATTATGGAAATTTAACCAGTTGTCTTGCAACAGTCACATAAACACTCACGTAGGATTCATTCTGATGCATTAAAGATAATCCACCATTCTTTTTACTCACATAGTACTCAGCTGTCAGGGATTGGCTCTCTGTTGGATTTATGCAACTTAAAAATGAAGCCGACTGTCATCTGTTTTGTTTTTTTGTTTTTTTTAAACTTTGCATTTTTTTTCCAAAAGTGACGGTGACAAGAGCCACACGAACAAATCACCTACTGCACTGTTTAATCTTATCTACTTTTAAAATAGATACACCCTGACTTAACTGGATGAATACGAGGGTGTGTCTACCACGGTCGCTTTAATTGCAGCAAACGTCACCCAGACGTTTCTCTTCTTCATCTTTTGCTTAACTGGCTCTCGTGTCTTGTAATGAAGTTTGACTCCATCTTTGCAAAGTAGAATAAGACCTTTTTAAT